ACGTAGTGCATTATCGCGTCTTCGAGACGTCTCAAAACGCTTCACAGAATATATTGTGAAGTGTAGTGACTGTACATTTTATGGCCAAAATGCAGGAACCAATTGCACACAGCAGTGTCCCATAAACAGTTATGGATTGAGCGACTAAATGATTATTATTATTATTTTGAAGGGATTATTATCCCCAGAAAAGCGATCCTCCAATCGACTAATGACCAGGTTCCTACTGCTAGGTAAACAGAGGCGTGTGGAGTAAGGAAACTTGCCCAACATTTTGTTCTGCCCGAGAATCGAGCCCAGGTCCTCTCGCTTGCGCGGTGAGTACTCTAACCACGAAACTACAGGACTCCTACAATAATTGTGATGGCTTCACCAGCCTTAGACTGTGAAACCGTTTTGTTTACAAATTTAAGATGGCGCAGAATTGTGTAAGATTCTTAAATTCACTCTTGAAATGAAGCTGGCTCTTCCAAAAATAGGACTGAATGTAGGAACGTTTGCAGTTAGGCATGGTCTTGAATTTCAAGACCAAATAGTCTGAACAGCCTTGGATGAGGTAGGATTTCAGGCTCGTGATGTGTTTTTGAAATAGCTTAGCACGTGCCTCGGGTCAGAGAAAGGCTGGTCTGTCTGTCTCCCAAGATTGTGTCTGTGGAGCTGAGTTGGTTTTGGATTGTGGCAAGCTTGGGTCAGGCAGGTCTGTCAGATTTGGGGGTGGATTAATTGCCGTGTTTTGTTTGCCTGTTAACAGATCGCAGGCAGTGGCGCTTGATCACACGCAATGCAGTACTTGGGACACGTGAAGGTTGCGACACTCAGACTGGGTAGAGGGAACAGTGCAAACTGCTGACCGTAGACGGGGAGACTACGTCGGGAGTTCCTGTGATCCCACATGACTGGCCCTTTGTTCCCGGAGTTTTCCACTCTCCAGGACATGTGCCAGAAAAGTGTCACAGAGTGGCATGTGGGCTCATTGCCACAACACTTTTCATAATAAATAACAATAACCAGACTTACATTTGATATAGCGCAGACTCAGTGTCTCGGAGAGCTTCGCAGGTGACTCACAAGATCACGAGAAAGGTTCGGATGAGGACAGCTATTTTTTAGCCCATTTGATCTTATCCTTCCAAAATCCCACTCTAATTTACTCGCATCCCAGAGAGGGCAAAACTTTAGTCTTTTTCTTAAATTTCCTTAATCCACACGCTTCTGTTCAGTTAGCAGTAAGTAGGAACCCGGTTGGTTGGTAGTCGATTGATGGAACGCTTTTCCGAGGGTAATAACCCCTTAAAAAAACATTAATTTACAATTGGCCACCGACCACTGCCCACAAAATATACAATCAATTCACTTTACGGTATGTACAGTGACACGTTTTGAGACATCTCGATGACAGGATAAGGTGCTATATCAAATGCAAGGATTATTATTGTTATATATGATTATTATAATTATGGAGTCCTGTAGTGTATTGGTTAGAGCGATCACCTCGCAAGTGAGAGGATCTGGATTCGGTTCCTGGGCAGGGTGAAACATTAAGTAAATTTCCTTACTCCCCATCCCTCTGTTTGCCTAGCAGTATGTAGCTGTTAGTCAGTTAGCGGATCGCTTTTCCTGGGGTAATAATCCCTTCAAAATGTTTTAATAAATTTATTGTTATTATTAGTATCTGAATTTAAAATGATGATTTTAAGGCTAATCTGTGGGAATACTCGGGCCCCAACACAACACCTTTCCTATTGTCACCGAATGATTCTATGACTTCTGCTGCTGTTGACAAACTGATCTCGATGGTAAGAGACAAACTAGCAAATTCTTATGTTCTTGTTAATAAAGTGTGGGACATGACATGTCAACCGACTGCCAGGATGGTGGAAGGCGAACAGAATGGACCTTGGTCTTCCTTCGCTTAGCAAATTTTTATGTACTTTACTGCTCAGATCCAGTCTTTCGATGGTGCATAAATAGCAGTTGTGACTATAGAGGAAGGGCCTCATACCAGAGGCATCCTTTCTGGATAATTCAGAGATTTGAGGTGTCAAAGCGATTCACAGGTAACTGATGACGAGTGTAGTGATTATATATACATGTGTGTATGTGCGTGTGTGTTAGTATGTATGTTTATATGAATGTGTGCATGTGTGTGTGTGCTTGTATATAGGTGTAAGCAAACAGCAAGGACCCACAAGTGAAGTGAATCAACATGTCACTAAGTTAATAAATGCCGCTGACATTTAACAACTTGCACTTGTGTTTACCCCCGCGCAGGGTAGTGTCTCAGAGAGCTTAACAGCGGTGGAGCCTGACTCCGAGTCGGGAATAGGAGGGAGATGGCTGTAAGCACGGTCAAGCAGGAAAGTTTTCAGGCTGGACTTGAAAGAGGGGAGAGAGGGGGCAAGACGGAGGGATTGAGGGAGAGTGTTCCCGAGTTTTGGGGTGTAGTGGCTGAAAGTGCGATCTCCAATGGTTGGGCGGAGGGTGCGAGGGACGAGCAGGAGGCCGGTCCCAGTCGAGCGAAGGCGCCGGGTGGTGGATTGGGGAGTGAGGAGGTCGGAGAGGTAGGGAGGTGCCAGGGAGTGAAGAGATTTGAACCTGAGGGTGAGGATCTTGAAATCGATCCATTCGGTGATGGGGAGCCAGTGGAGCCTGGGCCAGAACTGGTGAGATGTGGGTACGGAGTTTGGACCGAGTCAGTATGCGGGCGGCAGAGTTTTGAATGAGCTGATCTTGGTGAATGGTGGAGCTTTAAGCTCTGTTTTAAGGGTTAAAAGGAAGATAGTGACATAAAATTCTTATCTAGTTCGTATCTAAGTGTGAAAGAGAGTGTGAGTTACAAAGGGATCTGGCTCAAATCCAAGTGTGAAAATATGCGGCTTGACGTAGTTTCACAATAACTAGAAAAGAACATCTTGCATTAATAGGACTAATTAGATTATATTCTACTCTGCAGTATGTCTCTCTTCCCATCCTCTTCCTTTTGGGTAAGTTTCCTTACTCCACACGTACGCCTCTGTTTACTTAACAGTAAGTTGGAATCCGCTTGTTGGTCGATTGACTGATCGCTTTACGGGGTAAAATCCTTTCAAATAATAATAATAATAAATTGGTCACTCAATCCACGACTGTTTGTGGGAAATTGCTGTGCGCAATTGGCTGCCACATTTTGCCCACAAAATACACAGTCACTACATTTTACATTGTATCCTATGAAGCTCTTTGAGACGTCTCAACGACGTGATACAACACCATATCAAATGCAAGGATTATTATCCCTATTCTTATTATCCTCAGTTTCTCACTCCCTCAAAAGTCTCCCCATTTTGCTTCCTTTCTCCCCTCCAGCCTATTGTACTATCAATCTCACCCCTGCTCCGTCTTTCTCTCTTTATATCTCCCATCATTCCCGCCCATCACTGAATCTGTCTCTCTCTCTCTATTGTGGAGTCCTGTAGCTCAGTGGTTAGAGCACTCGCTTTGCAAGCGAGAGACCTGAGTTCAATTCCAGGCAGAGGGCGAAACCTTGAGCAAGTTTCCTTACTCCACACAGAGCCTAATAATAATCCCTCCAAAACAAAACAATAATATATTGGTCATTTTCAATCTACGACTGTTTGTGGGACATTGCTGTGCGCAATTGGCTGCCGCGTTCGCCCACAAATATACAGTCAATTCACTTTACAGTGTGTTCTGCGAAGCGCTTTGGGACGTCCTCCTGACGTGAAAAGCGATATATCAAATGCAAGGATTATTATTATTATTATGTATTATTGCTTTGCCTATGAAACAGTCACTTAAGTTTGGCAGCAATCACCGTCAAGCACTTTAAGATACTTTCGATGTGATAAAAACGTTCTTTATCTTTTTTCTCTCTCTCACTTGTGCTGTTCCTCTCTCCACCATCACTGTCTCTTTCACTTCCCTCCCACAGGAGTTGCGCGAACTCCACAAAGTCCCCGATATGGCATATTCTCCACTTTAAACGCGAAGCGGAAGGAGAATTCATTGTGGCTTAATGAGCTGAGGTTTCAGCAGCCAGGGCCCCTTGCAGCTTTCAACACATGTTCGTGTATTCAACACTAACCCTGATGCAGCGTTGCATGCTTATTCAGATTTGCACGACTAAACACAAATCGATATCATCTTTCACTCCAATCAGTACTCCCTTGCATCTTCTCAGAACTTCCTTTGTAGCTTATGAATTGCATGTGGAATGTCTCAACAGATCAGTCTGATAACTTGACGTTCCCCCACTCCACTCCATCTCTGTAGAACGCTTTGAGATGTTTTCTTATACGAAGTACGCCAAATAAATGCGGGTTGTTTTGTGTTTTTCCCTCTGGATCCCTCCGCCTATCTCTGTTTCTATCTAATTTACCTGTGTCTTTCCCTCTCCGACTCACGGACTCTGTCTCCCTCTCTATCTTTCTCTTCCTGTCTGCGGTTTTCTCTTTTCTCCAGGAGTCCTGTAGCTCAGTGGTTAGACCACTTACATCGCAAGTGAGAGGACCTGGGTTTGATTCCTGGGCAGCGCGAAACAATGGACAAGTTTCCTTACTCTACGCGCCTCTATTTATCTCGGAGTAAGCAGGAACCCGGTTGTTAGTTGATTGGTGGATCGCTTTCGGGGAGTAATAATCCTTTAAAATAATAATAATAATAATTTGGTCACTCAATCCACAATTGTTGGTGGGACACCGCTGTGCGCAATTGGCTGCCTCATTTCTTCCGCAAAATATACAGTCACTACACTTTACAGAACATCCTGCGAAGCACTTTACGACGTTCTCGAAGACGTGATAATGCGCTATATCAAACGCAAGGATTAATATTATAATGACAACAACTTTGGATTTGCATAGTGGTCTTCACGTGGGGTGGAGTAGGGTCCTGGAGCGCTTGCTTGCCATGATTGTTATTATGGCCATCAAGTGTAGTGACTGTGTAGGTGTAAGAATATGCTTGACTGGTGACGGCTTTGCCTTGTGTTCTTCCCGCAGAGCATCCCCGGCTGCCGGCCTCCGTCGAGGTACCGCTACGACTCCTCCGCCTTCGCCTTCCGCTCGCTGAGCACGTTGGCCTCCGTGAGCCCGATGACCTCAGTAGAAGAGCCGCCATGTGCGTACTGAAACCTGACACTGACTCTGCTCCCAATAAAACCCTCAGCGCGGCAGAAAGGACGCGGGGAATGACAAGGCACAGCCACACAACTGGCATGTCGCCAGCTACCGTCATCTTCCTTCTTTTATCGCTCACGGACATCAGCTTCGTAGTACTATAGAGCTGATTACTTATGATAGATTGGACGTTGGTTAAAGGCTTGAGGTACTGTTGTCAGCAGAGGGCTTCTCCTCGTTCCCCCCCCCACCCACCTCCGTTCTCCTCAAATTGTTGCACTGGGGGCCTGTGTTACAGTTGCGGGAGAATAGTTCATGATGAAAAGCTTCTAAGAAATACTGTTATATTAAGGAATGTTCATGTACACGTGTGTGTGTGTGTGCGTGCAGGCATTGCCCACATTATTACTGGAGCTGTGACGGGAAGGGAAAATGATAAATTTGGGAGGCTGAGGATCGAAGAAGCCCAACAATAAAGCGACTTCTAGAAGCAGAGAGATGCCGAGCGGTAAAGACAGGCCTAGCAGTAAAGAGAGGCATTAGCAATGAAGAGAAAGAAGCTGAACAGTAAAGTTAGGCTCAGCAACAGAGGCCTAACAATGTCAAGAAGTCTGACCGTAAAGCGAGGCTTGACGGCAAGCAGAAGCCTTAGCAACGAAGAGTAGATCTAACAGCCAAGACTTTAATCCAAACTCTGCTCCTTTATCCTCCCTCCACGGCAAACTGGATAGTGACCGTATTCAACGCGGTCACATTGCTAAAAAGGCGGCCAGGCTGGGTGCGGTTATCAGATGGAAGGTTTGCCTATATCACTTCACTGCTGAAACCTATTAAATATTTCCACTGATTTACTACGTTTTCATTGACTGCTTATTCTTTCCACAACGTGTGCTTCACAATGTGTGTTTTGCGACACTGGCACTTTTGCTTGAAATCTCCGGTTGGGAACCGGAGTCCTGAATAGCCTTCAGTTAGACTTCTGTTTCTTTCTCCTCTGCCAATTATCTTGTCTCGTGCCTTGCACTGGCCTCCACTTGCTGGGCTGAGGTTCCACGGGTTGCCCTACAAGCCGTGGTTTACGTGTGAGTCTGGGCAGTGAGTGTAAGCAGGCTACGTGACTGTAGAGGGCATCACAGTCTAACTTGTCTCCACCCAGTTGACAACGTGTGCACAACAACAACAACAAATTACATTTACACATCGCATTTCACGTCGGGAGGACGTCCCACGGCGCTGGACAGTCAGGAATTTGGAACCGAACAACAATTCTCTTGGGTAAAAAGATTTCTCCTCATTTCCCCTCTGGTTCTTTTGCCAATTTTTTTGAGAACGGATTGAATGCAGAAAGTAATTACGTGGATTTTATTTTTTAACGCCAGTTTGCGTCTTTTGTGTTTTCACCTTTTTATTTTAAGATTATGTGGGGTGAAAATTTCGACCTGCGCAGTTTTAATAAAATACTTTGGGAAGACGTTTCAAAGCGTTTCACAGGATTGTGGTGACTGCGAATTTTGTAGGCGAATGTGTTTTAACTATCAAATCACAGATTTATTTTATTTTCAAATAAATATCTAGTTCCCTCTTGAAAGTTATTATTATTATTGATTTAAATGTCCACATGGGCGGCCCCCTCCGCCCATCCTGAATTGGACATTATTTGTTGGACTTTGCTCTAACCCTCTCTTATTAAGTGTTGTTACAATTTGAGCCTCAAAAGCCACTTGTGGCGACACATTCCGTTTTTGATCACCTTCTGTATGAAAGTGGACATTATTCTAACCTCTCCCCTACACCCTTTCCGCTGTTATTTGATTTTTTATTCCCTTATCACAGATTCACTGTCCAGCGGGAATAACCTTTCACCATCGATCTTCTCTGATTTCTCGACCGCATGAAGCTCAATGATGATTACATGTTGTGTTTGATCGGAAGACTGAACTTGCCTTCACAGCCCAGGGATTTTGTGGTCAAGGGAAATAAAAAGAGTGGATGTCCACCTTGTCCTCATAAAGTTACAATCCTTTTAAGAGGTTGGAGTGGAAGATTTTNGCATCTTTTCCTTTGCATTCAAAGCCTTTCTCAACGAAAAAAACAAGCTTGCCCTTTTACAGGCCACCAGAGCCGTTGTAGGGCAGGATTCCAGTCCTCTTACAGGCTCTTAGCTTTGCCCTTAATCCTCATTTGTAGGAGGTTTTGCGAGAGGCCTTGTTGTGGTAATCTTATCCACTTCATGTAATTCCGTGCTTATTTAAATGGAACGAAAAATAAGGGCATTTTTTTTACATGGCTGGGAGGGCCGCTATGGTGATTGTCACCGAATTATTACTGAGAGGCATCTATTTATTGGGCGGTTATCTTTAGGCGATGTTACGATGCGGTTTCTTTCTTTTTGAGGGGTTAATTGCTCCTGAAGAGGACCTTCGGTGACATGTAATTTATTCAAAAACTCAACATTAACACTGCTTATCTCAGTCATATTTAGTGGTGATGTGATAATGAACAGGTTTTAGTGAAATTGGTGAAATAAGCTTCAAACTTGACACAGTGACGTGACAGTGGCTGATTACTGCCTCGCTGGCCCCAACCTCAGGATCAATGAACGGGCGTTGCTGATTCTTGTGGAATGATTCCTAGTTCTTTTATTACGTCATTGAATTACATCATTCCCTGGAGTTAAAGGGTCATCTGTGTCTTCAATTTTGTTTGATTGTATGTGTCTTCTTTCAAAATGCTCTTTCTTTGCTTCCTGTACTCCCCACTCTGCATTCCACAGCATTTGTCTCGTGCTGGTTAAGGAGACTTCTCGAAGGCACTGTATCAAATGCAAGGATTATTTGTATTACTATTATTATCCACTCGGCCTTTCCAAACACCTGAAGCTAGTTGAATGACCCAATAGTTAGTTAAGTCAATGACTTAATACTTGAATGACTCTCCCACCCTCTACTCTGCCCGGATTTTAAAAAAATCCTTACATGATACAGCGTCTTTCACATCAGGTGGACATCTCAAAGTGTTTTACACGATTTACTGCAAATTTGAATTATAATAATAATTTGGGATTTGATGTAGCACCTGATCAGGTCATTATCACTTTGTTATTATCATGTCGTTATCACGCCTGTGACGTGTCGTGACTGTAGTGGGGAAACACGATTTGTGCACAGAAATGTCCTCCAAACACTAACTAACTGAATGACCAATTTTATCTGAGGGATTGTTGGCTGGGACATTGAGAGAAACTTTAGAATAGTGCCATGGGATCTTTAACATCCACTTGAACAGGCAGACGGGACCTCAGATTAAGGTCTCAACTGAACGATGCCACTTCCAACAATGCAGTACACCTCCAGCAATGAAATTATGGCTGAAATTAAGAATTTTCTGCTATACTGTGCAATTTTATATGTTAAGATAATGATGCTGGGATTAGGACTTTGGGCCTCTGATCATTAAGCAGTGACTCTGTGCTGTGTCAAAGATTGCTGTAGGTTAGGGTGACCATGTTTCATAAAACAAATCTGGGGACACATATAACGAAATTGAACTCACCACAATTCCCGATGCTGGAGAAGTTTATTGAATTAATGGCTGTATTTCTCTGATGTGTGTCCGTGTTTTAGAATGTTATTGTTCTTCCTCAGTTTGTTGCTGAATTCAAGACAGGGCAAATTTGGCCCCAGGGACACAATACATCATCTGGGGATAGTTCCCAGAAATAATAATTTGGTCACTCAATCCTCGTCTGTTTGTGGGTCATCGCTGTGCATAATTGGCTACCATGTTTTGCCCAAAAAATACAGTTAATTTACTTTACAGTATATTCTGTGAAGTGCTTTGAGATGTCTCAAAGATGTAATAAGGCTCTATATTAAATGTAAGGATCATTATTATTATTCTTGTCAGAGGTGCTGTCCTTCAGATGAAAGAGTTTCTCCCAGTTTCCTGACCAAATATTCTCAGCCAAATTGGGTCGTTCACTTGATGATTGTTTGCATGTTCTTGTGTGAAAATTATCTGCCATGTTGCCAACACATATAAAGTCAATACGATTGACAACAATTGCCCGTGAAGGGGTTTGGATATTTTGACGTTATAGTCAAAGCATCAAGTCATCAAGTAAGAAGATTATTATTATTATTATTACAGCGCTCCCTCTAGGGGTTGGCCTGAGAATTGACAGCATCTGCCTCACCACTCTGGGTTGACAATGAAATCTGAGTTCAACCATCGATAACTCCAAGCAAATGTGCCTCTGTTTATCTGCTTTAAGTACAGTGTTTTTTTTTGCCAGCTTCTCTCATGCTGGCTGCCAATCCAATAAACGTTTATGGCACATTCTTTGGGCACGGCTTTGACAGCCTAAACTCTTGGCTGTGTCAGCTTGCGGCCTTAACTTTAATTTGTTTTCCACCAGAAAGCTGTCACGAAAAGAACAATGAAATGTCAGCGATCCTCACTGTGTGATGGGTAATTTCGTGCAGCTGCGATGTGACAGGAGATTTTGTTTTTGTTAATCAGCCGAGTGTCTGATACAAGCTGTCCAGGTCTGAAACACGTCAACAAGCTTAAGAGTCTCCAAACCAAGCTGAGATTTCCGTGCATCCCACCTACACATCAGGGTTGTAGTGGTTCCGGATGATCTGTAGGTTGTGGATGTAATGTGTAGTTGAGACGATCGGCAGAGAAGCAGAATGGAAAATGGTTGGTTCAGTTGGAGGAGAAGTAGGGGGCGAGGAGGTGATGTGGCAGAGATGGAGGGAAGTGGACTTGGTAAAGGACATTAAAAGGTGAGGGGTGAACAAAACAGTTTGCACTGTCTCCATGAGCCAAAGAGCAGATGAGGAGACTGATACAGTGATTACTGTAATTACTGTTAAGTATGGAGATGGGGTAGAAGGGGGGGAGGGGGCAGAAATAACAGGGGAGGGAACGCTGAGGGGTGGGGGAAGGAGGAGGATTCTCTTTTTCCGCACCTTGGCACAGTGCTAAAACCTGTGGGAATTACAACTTCGAGTCTATTTTTGGGCTTTACAATTACGCACATCAGGAAACTTAACTTTCACTGAGATGTGCCAGGAAGCTGGCAGATTAGATGTAACGTGGGCTACATGGGAGCAGAGACCTCGGGGTGGAAATTGGAATACGGGACACACATTAGCACCGCCGTCCTTCCTTCCTTCCTTCCTTCCTTCCTTCCTTCCTTCCTTCCTTCCTTCCTTCCTTCCTTCCTTCCTTCCTTCCTTCCTTCCTTCCTTCCCTCCCTCCCTCCCTTCCTTCCTTCCTTCCTTCCTTCCTTTCTTCCTTATTTCCTTCCTTCTTACCTAAATATTTCTTATAACCTTTTCACTTGGCATCAGTCTTGTTGCTGTTTTCCGATGTAAAAAAAAAAGGCTACAAAGCGTTGTTACTATTTTTTCCCTTCGGTATTCTTTTCATTCCTGTTTACATAACCTCCAATGCCTCCTTAACTCCCTGTGCTGCTCTGTGTAGCAGACTTCAGCTGCTGTGTTAGCCACTCTTTCCCACAGAACTCTTACCATCGCGTAGATGTGACCCATTCATCTCTGCACAATGGTCCTACAGTCTCGGACTAGGCGGAATTTCAGGTCTCTGAACTCTCCATTACTTGGTCATAGCCAGAGCTTCCCGAAGTGATTACACATGCAGCACAATATACAACTGGTTACATTTGTATAGCGCCTTTCACGTCGGGAGGACGTCCCAAGGCGCTGGGCAATCAGACAATCAATGGACCCGAGCAGGGGAGGGGGTGTTGGGGTACGGGAGGGTCCAGGGCAGGGAGGGTAGGAGGGTGGCCGAAGGCTCGGTCGAAGAGGAGGGTCTTGAG